GCGAATGGAACACGTTTGTGCTCGCATCAGCGCCATAGACCGCACATGCAGTCGCTTGGGAGGACAAAGGCAAAGCACAGGCACACGCTGAGAAATGAGTAGCTGCACCCCCAGCAACACTTGAGGGGACAGTAGATAACATGGGTAAATGTGCGCAACAGTAATTGTAGGAGCAGACCCATGGCGGCACGTCTGTTCATACTCACTCACCTTTTCAATGCCTCATAATAGTCCCAATTCGTCATTTGTGTAAAGCGCTCAAGCGCTCGTCCATGTATAATCCACATAGTCGGAGTCCTCCCCCTGTCTTGCTCGATCCAGAAGTCATCTATTCTTTCATCGTTGGTCTTCATAGTTTTGGGAACGCTTGAGCTTGGCGCTGGCGTTCGCCCCCATTCATCCGGTTTAGTGATTGCACTGAGCAACTGTCTTGCCTTTCTAATAACCGGAGTCACTCCATCCCCCGCAATCGCACTCATGCTGAGTACTTCATCTGCACCGACTCCCTGCAAACCATGCCATGGGCCCGTGTATGGATACAAAATTCTTCAAATCACTAATATCCGAATTCACCGGGCACTGCAAAATATGGCAGACAGGCCATGCAATGCGCTCAACACAGCGATATATGCAGTAGAGGGCCCGGGGAGGCTGGGAACGGCAGAGTAACGGCCACATGTCAGTCTTCACAATCAGGGGGAGTACATGCCAGCCCTGCCCTTTGGGGTGCGGCCTCTAGGATTGAAATAGTTATAAGTGTTATAAACGGCCCTTCGTGGACAGCTACAATCAGACACAATTGACATCTACGAGGTGCCATACTTGGTTGCGACTCAACATTCTCCGTTCATGAATCGCCATACAATGAGACGTACACGCAACAATCATTAGCCAGGACTCATCACCCTTTTGAATGTCATTTACCTGTAAACACTACACAACGCACCGTGTTTACAAAATGTGAAATGCAACCGTGTTAACATATTCATGGTACGATTTTCCACTCCAATAATCAATCAAGATCAATGCAAAAGTATTGCACACGCAAAACAACTTGCTCTGCAACCTCATGTGCATCTCAGAGGTTGGAATCTGCGGCATAGCTGAGTTTTGTGTGTCCCAAATTGCGCACAATTCTATCATCATATTGGCTTGCCACCTTCGAAACAATTCCCATCGGTTGGTCTGTTGGAGACCACATGGAACTTGCATTGGGTTTCACAATGTCTGTGCAGTGGTACCTGCTCCTGTGAGCACGAACATTGTGAATTCTGCTGCAGCAAGAGCCTGACACAGGAAAGGCAAACTTGTGGTTACGACCTTACCACGCTGATCAACTCTGTCTTGAACTCGCGCCATCGTTCAGCAGCATCCGGAATGTCCATCTTATTGTAAACCACCACCTGAGGTTTCGTTCGAAGCTCCGGGCTGAACAACTGCAGTTCTAGTTGAATAGCCTTGTGCAAAGGCAAAAAAAAACAGTCAAAGCTCCATAAATCATATTTGTGAAGCCCTCCCTTTGCTTTTCACCAGTCGATTTCACTCAACTTTGACAGTGAGTGGTGCAAGAGAAAGCTCCACACAATGTGAACAATCAGAACATATCCAGATGGGCAATTTTGCCAGCTTCCCGCCTTGAATGTATTCGGACTGTGCTTTGCTGGGCTTGTGACCCAAGGGGACAAAGCCAATTGCAATCAGCTTGCTGCCTTGTCCGCCGCCACCATTGAACACTGTGCTTTTGAACGCTGGCTGCGAATATCAAAGAGTATGTACTTTGTGTGTGCTGCCGACGTGTAGTTGGTGAAGCAGAGCAACCAGGTGTGCACATATGTACCAAAGCTTAGAATGTTATTTGCCAGAAAATGCTGGCGGCACTCTGGACTATTATCATCTAATGCTCCATATGCATCATCAGACACAACCCACACAGAAAGCAGATATTGTGCCAATCAATGGTACATGCACGAAATAGTCCAGCGTCATGCAGGTGCCATCAAATGGCCCCTACATTGGGAGTCGCAATGGCCTTTGTCAGGGGTCGCGGCACAGGTTCCAAAATTATTCAGCCCATTGAGCCAAAAGACATCTCCAATGAGTTGGGCAACATTCCTGGAAGCAAACGATTAACCTTTTCGCCAGTGTCAAGGAAACAAACGCTACCTCGAAGTCTCCCAAAGGGTCTTCACTCGTTCCATCAATGACATGGATGAGGACTTTGCACCTTTGGCAGTGTTTCAAAAATTGGTGCCCAAGGCCAATGCCCTGTGCAGCACCCTCCAGCAGCCCAGGCACATCAGCAAACACAGTTGTCTCATAGTCCAAGTCACAAACACCCAGATTTGGCATGAGTGTTGTGAATGGGTAGTCCGCAATCTGCCATGTGAGCACATTTCTCAGCCGCATGCTCCAGGAGCTACAAGAAATGGAGTTCAGCATGGACTTCAGCTCATGGAGTGCACTAGTTTGTTCCGAAATAGAAATTAACAGATATCGCATTTTGTCATGTACGCAGGGATTGACCCAATTCAAACAAAAATGCAAGGCTAGAGCTTTCTCCTTTTCAACCATAGCTATACTTAAGCTTTGCTTGTTGAGATTCAACACGAATGCAGGGGCTGGCTTGCATGATTCTGTGACATTATTCTTTGTGTCCCACAGAACAAGACAAGACAGGGTAAAGAAAGAATGGCCCAGAGGAAACCACTGCAAAATGCTGACACAACCACAAATTACCATCATAGAACCACATCTTTTGACATTGTGGTATTGGACTCAAAAGTCCAATGGGATGCAGTAAACAAATAAGGTAGATGTCCACATAGCACCTGGAATCACAGGTGTCCTTATTGAAGACTCCTATTGATGTGTGCAAGCATCCGCCCTCACCATTCATCCCCAAAGCATCAGCCATACGGATTGATGAGCAAGCACACTCCAGTTCTTCCACCATCAATGGATGGAGTTTGTGCGATCAATTCTACAGAATGCCATGTCCAGAATATCACAAATCCTACCCTGGCAGCTTGCTGCTTTTGCAAATTTCAGACTAGCAGGCCCAAACCCGTGCACATGAAAACAACCTGCAAGGTAACAGCAGTATGCATGGCATAAACGGCCGAGATGAGTTTCAAGATCAGCATTCATCTACAAACTGTCAGCCTCAAATGTCCAAATGCAGCAGATGCCCAGAACCTGCACAAATCAACACTGTGTGGTGGTTGGCAGGTTGGATTTGTGTGCCATCAGTGGGCCTTCAGGAGCACTGAGTGGACAAGTTTGAAAGGGAACACCACATTTCTGGCTGTTTGTTGGCTTCCTTGTGCACAACACCTGCACAAGTTTGTTTTGTGTTCGATTTCATCCTTCCTTTGCTACACTGCATTATGCAGCCCTCAATTTGGTGATGAAAGCTGCTCTGCATGCTGATGTGCACCGTTGGTGTCCTTTGCAGCAAATTTGGAACAATCTACAGCCAGTTCCAGATGTTATGAGATTTATGCTGGCCATAGGCAGAGATTGAAGCAACCTGTGCTGACCTTTGGTTTAGCTGCACTGAGCTTTGACAGCAGTGTGCTCTTCCCAGCATTCGGAATCCCTATGATGCCAACATCTGCTACAAGCTTCAACTCCAAGTCAACCCAGGCCTGCACATGCACAGAGACAGCTGTTGCTGCTGTGCTTTATGACACAGTCTACTTTGCTACAGGATCTTCATCATGAAATACCAATAACTAGGCACAGAGGACGCAGCAAGGGAAACAACTTGCAAATCCCTCAGCTGCAATCCATCAGCAATTGACACAGATCCATCTCTACAAAACAGCTCCTTGAACGCAATACTTGACAGGCACTGTGATGAATATCCCCACCCATGTTTTATGCTCGTGCATGCGAGTGTACATGGGACCCATGCAGCGCTTGTCAAGGCACGAATTCCCACTCCCAAACAAACTAGCTTGCAGGGCTTGGGGGTTAATGTGCAATACATGACAGGGAACATCACAGAACACTCTTGTTTCCTACTGGCCATCGACGAGGAGATTGTTGCAACGATCTTGTACTTTAAACAAAGTAAAGATCTGGTGCATACTTCGCCTGGAAGCCAATAGCTGCCTAAACTGCTTCCAGGGCTGCAGTGCTTATCACCAACAACTCGAAGGGGATACGTCCTCGCACAAGTGCAGAGCAACAGAAGGTTTGCCAAGCGAGCAAGTGCTGGGTTGCAGCCGGCCAGGCAATCAGCAGGACTTCAAGCTGCTCAGTTTGAAGTGGAAACCAAATCACATCAGTACTTAACAGGGCCAAACATGGCCAAATGGGCAAAAAGGCAGCACAGCGTGTGATGCTTTCAGACAAGGTTATCAATGTTGATTTTGCATTGGCCAGACATGATTTTTGCCAGTGCGTTCGCATAGCTGTGACATCATCCAACGGTCCTTCTACTTGAAAAGGAAGCATCTTCAGGTAAGCATCTGGCAACACATTTGGTGTGGAGTTGCCTTGCTTTGTCTTGTGTGACAACTGCAACTGCAGGAATTCCACAGAGTTCGATGTATTTGCATTTACACAACCAATGATCTGTTTGTGTTCCAACTTCGCACGATGCCACACTCCACCCGTTTGTGTCGTGTGAAAATGGTGGCCCAACAACAGATGATGTCACGGTCCTGTACCTCTGGTCCATCTTCTCCAAGTTCTGCCAGCTGTGGTGCTTGGACCTTGCCTGACTTGAAGGATGCATTCCCACGACCACCCCGCCCTCCTCTTAACAACAAGGCCTTTTCGCCTGAACACCCAAAACGATCAGTGCAGCAACCCTTGGAATGCCTAAAGCAGACCAAGGCATTATATAGCCCAATTCATACGATTGCAAAACACAACAAACACTGTTCATTGACGACAGCCATAGATTTATTGGTGAATGAATGACCACTGGCACTGCTAACAAAACAAAGCCTCCATAAGCACATCCATTCAAGGACAGGTTTCAAGGATAACCAATCCACTTATCTGAAAGTTGAAAACGAGACAACACATGGGGACAATGTACAATTCATGCTACATATGTTGTGCGATGTGTAGACAATATCCGTCCACTGTATATCAACTTGCCCCATGTTGTTGCAACAAGGCTTGCTTGTGCATGCACGCCCACAATAACCCATGTAGGTCCCCAGCCAGCTATAGACCCAAAATTGTTCCCTTGAATAGATGTGCAGGAAACCGCCAATTGCACAAATGCTATGGAGCATCCAAGCATGGATGCTGTGTTTGCACCCTGATCAAAAGAAAATAGCCAGCCTTCAGTTCCGCTGTAATTTCACCAGTTGACACACTGCAGGTGCCTGGCCCTGCTCAGTCTGATGGCTGAATGTAGCTCAAGCACATTTTGGAGATCTGCTTGCACAGGATGGAAACATAACACTTCCCAATGTTCATACTCCATGCGATCTGGTCAATAACAGCAACTCACCAGCTTTAACCAGCTCTGCCAATGCAGCTTCTGTTGATGGAACACCCTTCCAGCGTATGATGGTCCCAGGGGGCACAGGGATAAACATGTCCTCTCCATCTGCCCCCCTCCTCTTCGACCCCTGCCCAGCAACACCTTTCTTTGCCCTCCAATGGATTTGCCTCCTGAAGCTCAGCAGAGAATTCAAAGAGCCATCTGCCACAGCCCACACATCGCCTCCGTGGCCACCATCCCCACCCGATGGACCACCTGCCGAGTGACCACATAGCACAAATCGATACACTGGTGCAAATGGGATGACACAGACACAAGAAAGGGGAGCGAAGCAATGTCTAGTGCATGCATCTGTCTGCCTGCCATCGCCTTCAAGGTACCAGGTCCTGTTTAGTTCTGTGCATGCAGCTGTAAGCAAGCAAATACACTTTATCACACTTTGGCTCCAAACTGACAACCAACTTGGTGCTGATTCCCAATGAGATACGCACCCTTTCTCTAAGGGAGGCCTCGATTGCCAATGGCACTACACCAGATAAAAGGATATGCAGACACATTCCAGTTCCAGCAACAAGCTGCAGAAGTGCGATGCACTCTGGTTTCCCCTATTCAAAGCATCCTCTGGAATTGCTGAATAGGCAGAGTCACAAGCACAACTGGGAGCAAACACTGCGATGCAGTTGCACCTGTGATTGCCATGGCAGTGCAAAGGCTATGATTTGTCATATTTTGGGCATATGTTAGCTAGTTTTGACAGAATTCTGCAGGCAAGACTGGCTGAGTTACCAAATCATGGATGCCATGCAAGAATGGCCCCATGTCTGCATAAACTGGTGGAGTCCAGATTCTCCTATGCATGAATTCGTCCTGGCACTGGCTCTCAGCTTAAAAAGTAACCGGAATTTCAATGCTTGAGCAAGCAGAGACCACACAACAGACTCAACTGAACCTATATCCCCCACATTCCACATCAAGAACACAAAGTCATGTTCCATGTGTCACTGGTGGCTCATCACTGAAAGAGAAACATGTTGTGCATAGGCATATCCAGTCCCCAACGTTTCATCAGACCAACACTCACCTTTGGAAACAAATTTCTCTCTGTGAAATGCAACACAGCCATTACCCCCTGAACCTGCCTTTAGATATATTCTTGCTGTGTCAAAGCACCTAACCTCTGCAGGCACACTCGGCTTGACTACGGTATTTCCAAACTCGTCTAGAGATTCTGCATCCACCAATTCTGAAGCATTTCCACGAAGTTGGGGTGGCACCTGGAAGACAATTCACACAATTCCAACCCCCAGTTAGCAGGAGCTGGGCATAGTAAGCTTTTGACAATCTGTGCCACATTGTGTGTAGGAGTGTGATTTGGGGCTGACATGGACATTCAAGAATTGCACACAACATATTTTCAACTGTGTGCCCTACAAAACAAGGCAAATGACAACGATCTCCTGCAGATGTTGCCACCAACAGGTACAGAAAGCTGCAGCATGGAAGCACAATAGAGAGACTCACAGCAACACAGGCCAGTCAATGTTCCCCTTCAGTTTCTGCCCTGGCCCCTGGTCACAACCTCGTTCATGAGTGGCATTGTGCAACTACCTGCTGATGGCACATTCTGCACCAGAAAACTCACGTACAAGCAAAGGCAACAGAGAATTGGCTTGCAGGGTTGAGTCGTTCTCAGCCTCGTTTCCACTGCAGTGGTGAGGAAGGCAACCAAGTGCAGCACACAGCGACACAAAACTTGGTTTCTTCTAGAAAATCTCTGAATTAATCTCTTGGAGACAGACAAGGACTCTCAAACACTGTAAGAGCTGGTTACCCATGGGGTGGCATATCTTGTTCACAAGTCAACAATCATTGCCACCCAATGTTCAACAAACGACTTACATGTCCCTCCTCGGATTTGTGTGTTTCTTCTCTGTTGTTTTCCATTTGCCAGTTTTTGACCAGCTGGCAATGCTTAGGGCTGCTCAATGGCAACCACTAACTGCTCAAGGATTGGAGATGGAACATTTGCAGCCATGCACAGTGCTAACATCGCCTCACAGGCCCGTGCAGATTGCTTTTATGATAATTTCGTGCCTAGTGGAACCAAATGGGATGTCAAAACTAACACCAAGCTGGTCTGTCACGGCAACCAGGCAATTGCTGCTGGAGCATCCCCTGCAATGCTCTTTGCCCAAATGTGCACCCACCAGACTGCGTGTTGGCTCCTCATCAAAGTCCCAGTCGTTCAGGAGATCCTCTACATGTTTATCAATAGCCCCGCCAGCCTGTGCATGAGATACTCAAAATGAGTTGCAAGGACATGAACAAGCAGTGCAGGGAAAGCGGTGCATTTGGAATTGTGCCCGTCGCTTCAAACTCCAAGGCCAATGCATTGCCCTGTTAATGTCCAAAGGCAGACATTGCCCTTGAAACCATTTCTTGAAAGCATATCCTTTCAAGAAAAATGGTCCAAAGTAAGGTTGAACTAGTCCAAAGTAAGGTTGAACCCAGTCCACACTCAGTGCAGGGAAAACCTCGTCCAAACTGAGGTTCACCTAGTCCAACTGCATGGAGGTTCCACCCGTTCCAAATGGAGGGAAAACCTAGTCCAAATTGAAGTCCAACTTTGTCCAGCCATATGAAGCACAATTTTCTAAAACCATTCATTTCAGGGGAGAATGGCCATGAAGATTGTCGATTGTCTTATTGTAGGTTTTAGGACTTGGGGTTTATGGCTTGGCTTTTCCTTGTTTCAAGGTCCAACCTCAAAGTGGACTAGGTTGAGCCTCCACTGACGGTGGAGCAGATTGAATCTCAGTTTGGAGTAGTTGTGGCAACTACACCCAATGCTGTCTCATTCTTTGTCACAGGACTTTGCCTCAGAAGCAACCTTTGGACATGGATGCTTCACCAAGCAGAGCCACACAACAAGTGCAAGGGCATTTTGTGCCGCAGTTCGACAAATGTAGTCAGGTGGGTGTGTGCTTGGCTTTTCCAAGAATCACAAGTTGGGCAAAAGGACTGATGGGAAATCATGGTACAGCAGTGTGTCTAGGTTGCTCATTTCATCTGCTGAAGCTATTAACCCATTGCATGGATCAGCAAGGCCAGTTGCCCAAGGGTGGAAAGTTGCATTGTTCACTGTGATTGGCAAATGCATGTGTGGGCAAACACTGGTTGTGCACAATGCAAATAACTTCTATTCGAGCAGTAAACAAGATGTAGCGGACTGTCAAGAGTGGCGATCGATTTTGGGTGCAAGACCTCTCCATTCTTGCAGACTTGGAGGTTGAATGTGCCACTCACCACAGGCAGTCTATTTCAGAAAACAGAATTGCGAATACGGATTCAGGCCAGGCACAAATGAGCTCATTAACTCCCTGTGCACCAGCGCAAACTTTGGAGTAATCGATGAAAAAACAAAATGGCAACCACAATGGTTGGATGGCACACTTGATTCGTGGTGCACTATGATCACCCAACTTTGGGCAGGAACAGCACACAAATATCTGCAGTTTTTCAGTATCAAGAGGAGGCCAGAGACCTTCCGATGAAGTTGCAGGCCCAGATGCACCTGAAACTCAGTTGGCCGATGGCTACTGGTTATGCTCTAATACGAAGGGCAGTATTCGTGCAAAGCCTAACCTATTCAGGAGAGTGTCACTTCGCTAGATTGTGGATTCCAGCAACAAATTTGCCCTGGGTGCCTTGCTGTACATTGGTTTCTTTGGATTTCACACCTCTTTTGTATAAGTGCCCCTGACTCGACAGCTTCTGACATTCATGTTGTTTCATGAGCACAATCCCCATTCCTCTCAAGCACTTCTGGATCAGCATCTGCAGATCAACTTTCAAAACGCACTGCCTGGCATCTTGCTGCCTGTTGTGTGAATTGTTTCTCTTCCCATGGAAAGGACACCATGGGTCCCAGTGCGGATCAGCAGCAACATTCTCTGGCCACAACTGAGTACTCCAACTTCTGGGCATCATAGTAGGCATCCAGGGATGAAATTGTTGTGTGGGACTATCAGCACTCCGTCAAGTACTTTGGAGTCAAATAGAGTTACCAAATGGCTTTCAAACTTTGATACTTTGATCGAAAACAGTCAAAAATTAACCACTGCAGCAAACACAGGCTACCGCTCGAGTCACTTGCGGTCTCTTCTGGGCACAACCCCGACTAGAGCGGCAGGAGACCGCCTGTTTCTGCTGTTGGCACGAATTATGTACTGTCATTGGTGCAGTCACCACAGTTTGAAATCCATTAGGCTGTTCGCTCTGGGTCCCCAAAGGTGATACGACCAAATCTTCTCCAGCAAGAACCCTTCTGCGCATTAAAGGTGCAAGGTAGTGCATTGCAATGTCCACAAAAATGCATTCAAACGATACCGCAACGGTCGTCTGCTGCCCTCGTCGCGCGCTCCTGGAAGATGCCCGCCGTCCTCGAATGCAACATGCCGAGCGCCACGCTATCAGCACGCCTCCCGGCAGCCGACGGTGCAACAGGCAGCGCATCATTGGCACTAGAAGCCCCAGCAGGGGTCAGCAACCGACCGGCTCAGACGCAGGGTGGACGCCAGTGGGAAAACGGGGAAAGACCCCGCCCCACAAGGAAAGTGGGGCCGCCCAACAAAAGTATAGTGGTCGGAGGTCGGCATTGCTGATGTACTGCGCGACAACTGTAGATGGACAACAGAGGACTGTACTTTGAGGTCGTGTCAGAGGATGGTTGCACGTCGCCGACAAAGGGATGTACTCAATCGCATACATCACATGTGCCTCAAATGTGATCCCAGGGAAGTGGGAGGCCACAAGATGTTTTTGGCTATTGCTGTGCCTCTCCAAACATTTGGGCGTCGTCTACGGCCCCTAGACAAACAAACAGCACTCAAACAAACTCTCGTTGCTTGCAACTCCACGGATGCAAAAAGTCCAAGACGAAGTACCTCTTGTGATGATGGGGGCTTTGATGGGTGCAAAAAAACACCCAAGCACGGGTTACTCGATATCAATGGATCACGGTGCCGCACACCATACATTTACACAACGTGAAAGGGATGACAGATGATTCCAAGGAAGCTCACGACGCATCCTGGCAAGGCAAAGAGACGGGAAGTTCAGGACGACGAAGCAATTGCAATGATCTCCAGGCACAACTGCTTTCCATCAGTTCCAATAATATGGAAATGCTTCGCAAAAATTGCCGCTGGGGAGGGCTGCCAGTTCGGCAGTGCCTCTTTGCGCCTGCTTTCCGTTTCGTTGGCAGAAAGTCCACACAAACTATCCTAGAACGCAAATTAGGACTCTTCTTCTGACCCCCCATTGTCGCGTCGATACGACGATGACGATGGACATCCTCATTGTCGATGGATATATGTCGATGCTCATCCGTGGATATCCATGCTGTTCCCGTGGGAGCTGTGAACGAATGGGCAAGGCTGCGCTGAAATTTGGCAGTTGCAACAAAGGACAAAGTCCCCAGCAATCTTTGACTGGATGCAGAGGCGCTGGTCAACGAGCGATGCCTGCCTTTGCGAGGAATGTTGCCCTCGACCGCGATTGCCCTCGTGATCCCCAAGGACAGGACAGCCCCAACATGAAGCGAATCCAGAGGCACGCTAGTGGATCTATGTTGGACTCGTGTTCTGCACACGCATTTTTTATGGAAAACGCATTCGGGACATGCTGAGGATTTGTCAGTGATTAGCTTGCAAGGGCAGTGTCTGTCATTTTGCGATAAATCGAATCAACAGATTTGCGCTGGCCGCAACTGTGAACAACCTTGGCAGTTGCTATGTACGTCATGTCGTATTGGCGGGTGGCTTTCAAACTGCAAGAAAATGGCAACGTTGGCCACAGCCGACAGTATGTGATGCCACGACCAGCATGCATCCTGGTTCCAGCACTTTCCCTCGCAGCGCCATGAATCTACACCCTCGAATGGGTGCTGTAATGCAACAGACGCGATAAGGTTGTTGCAATGTACGCACCCCAATGCGCATACGTCAATGCACAAAACAGATAAACACATTTGTGTGTATTTTACTGTACAGTCATACTCCTACACCCACAAGCACGTGTTGCACCACTGATGTACAGTTTCTATCAATTTTAACGCGTTCCAAACGTGCATTGCACGAACTGTGCGCGATCTGGGGATGACCATGCCAGTGTAAAGGTCAGAAAGCTTTCGTTAGAAGGCGCAGTGGAAACAAAATTGCGTCATGTGTCTATAACGGGCTGCCAATTCACGCGAGGCGCCATTGAACACCATGTCAGGATATTGTGCCACGCATCCGCTGCTCGTGCCGACTGGGTGTTTGCCACAGCTTGTTCTCAATAGTATGCGTGGCACAGGACGTGGCTGTTTGTATGTCACCCGGGGCCATGAAGGCAGGCATGAGTGCAAACACCCCGTAAGGGGAATGCGCTTAATCTCCCGTATTATTCGTTTTCGCTGCATCCGTATTCAACAAGCGTGTCGTCCACAGTGCGAATCACTGTAATACAATCTCGCCACCTTTTCCTCACGAGTGGGGCTGCCCCTTGCACGGACGGCCCCTCTCTCACAGCGAATCCTCCCAAGCGCCGGTTTTCGCAACCACCCCGCGAGCTCTAGGGCAGCACACCCTCACTCAACCTCACACCGAAAGTGGGGAGGTTCCGATTCCCGTAGCCGCGGGCATCCGGAGTTCGCACTACGGTCGACCGTCGCCGGAGTGTGAACGCACTCTTTCGTGTCGCCCCGACTGCGAAGTTGGGCGTGTTCCCACCAGTGTGGGGCCGGGGCGGCTGGCGCCGGTCAAGGCCCGGCACAGGGACCCAAAGGAACGTGTGGCGGTGGGCGGGCTGCGCCCGGTGGCGCCTCCGGTCCGCGTGGCTGCTGAGCTGCAGCAGCCCGGCAGTCACACAGCACCAAGGGATCGCGCTGCGTTGGGACGGAGAGTGAGGCGGGCCAAGAGGCAGTCGTCCGCGCAGCGCATGCTCGCCGCCCCAGGGAGTTCAGGTTTGCGAATTTTACAGGCTCAAGCAATATGTACAAAGAAATGCGCGTGCAAGCGTCCTGCAAAGATCCCGCCGATGAGAGTGTTGCTCTGTTCCATAGTTATTGCTGTTTTCTTGTTGCTTCATCTTGGGTGGGCATTAAGTACAGTTCAGCGTTCATGTGTTTTAGCTTTCTTCCATCCTAGCTGCCAAATAAATTTTGAGGTCGTTTGGAGTCCCTTCTCTAAAGAATCGCGTCCCCAATATCTAAAAGTCCCTCCACCTAGACCCTGACCCTTACTGCTTCCTGGCAAATGCAGACACAAATGCGCCGGTTTGCCGATATATCTCTCCCTTCCAGCTGCCAGGGCCCAACCACCGGCGCGCCGCCCAGCAGACAAGCGGGCACACCGGCACGGGGGGGAGGGAGCCAAAATGGCTGTCGGGATGGCATGGCCGATTCAGCTCCACATCTGCCCAGCAAACGAATGGGCGCCCCTCGCCCAGCGTCTCTGCCTCCAGTACATGCTCGGCGCCGCGCCCGACCTGGCCAGCTGATGCATGCCCCCTCCTCCGTACCCCGCTCGCCCGGTCCCTTCCCCCGCTCATCCCCCCCGGCGGCCAATCAGTCGTCCCTGCGGCGCATCAGCCGCTGCTGCCGCCACCGCCGGCCCTTCCGCCCCAGGTTGCGAATCACCGTGGCGTCGTCCACCCGGCTGGCCTCGAAGTGGTGCTGGGCGGCGGCCAGCAGCACGGAGCGCGACGCGTTGGGCGGGACGGCCACCTTCGATATCCGTAGGTATCGCCGCAGCGTAGATGACCCCAGCAGATCCAGATTCACCCGGCCCAACCTCCCGGCACCGCGGGACCCCCCTCCGGCCCCCAGGCTGCCCCGCTGTCGGCCCAGGACCCGCCCGCCGGCCGCACCCCGGCCCCCGGCGGCCCCCATTAACATCGGCCCCACCTCCCCCAGTCCTTGCTCGTCGCCGGCCCCGCCATCGGGCGCCTGCGCCAGGGCGACCACGTGCAGCGCATTCCTCTGCAGCTTCACCACCTCGCCGCTGTCCATCCGCAGCCAGTGCCAGCCGCCCAGGCCCACCGACTTGCGCACCACGCCCTCCGTGCCCACGAGCGATCGCTTGGTGCGCTTGTTCCCGGTCACCCGCACCCGCGTGCCCACCGGCAGCAATAGCACATCGCCGGAATCGCTTCCCCCTTCGTCGCTGCCGAAGCCGGGCGGCTCGGAGCCCCCCGGCTGGCCACCCCCCCCGCCCGGGGGCAGGTCCTCCATCAGGATCCTAGGAAACCTCGAGCCGCCAATCGCCGCCCCCTCCACGGTTGCTGCGGTCGGCGACTGGCGGCGGCCAGCCGGACGTTTGTCGCACCTGGCTGGGCCCGGGGCCGGTGGCGGTGGGCGGAGCGGCGCCTTGGTGTCTCGGGGAGAACGTGTTGGATGGGCAGCCCTGCTGCCCCGCCCGTTTTAGTGTTCGGGCAGTGGCGTTGTACACGCAGTGACAGCTCGGTCTGACGGGGAGGCCGCCGACGGCCCCCAGTCACCCATGGGCGCACGGCAGTACCAGGATCAGGCCCAGTGAGCCGGATCGGGCGGAAACATGGGACCGATTTAGGCCGCACGCCGAAGCCGGGGCCGGGCGGGGGTTAGTCCTCGCCCGTTGGGGGCTTACTCGCGATCCAGCGGGCCCAAGTACGGCGCCTGCGAGACAGTACATTGGCTTGCTGGCCGGGTTCGCGTAGATTAGGGCCCGCCGGACGGCGGGCGCGTTGACTGTTGCTCCACGATTGTTCCGAGCGCGGTCTGGTCAGGCCTCAAGTGGGTTGACAAATCGGGTCTCGTCTGGCCCCAGGCGCTGCGGTCGCAGCTGTCAATGGAGTCACACGGGCGCGCAACAGCGTCAGGCGGTTCCGTTCGCGTAATGCGGGAACTTGTAGTCAGCCGGTGTGCTTCAGGCCAGCTCCCATCCTCTTGCTTCCTTCCTGGCCCGGCAACGATGGAAGCCCCTCCGATGGCACCCCGTCCGCAAGGAACTGGGCGCAGTGCTACAAAGCAATGGCGCTCTGGATGAGTGCATCATTGCATCGGCCGGCGCCCCACGTGCCTGCTCCGGCTGAGAGTGCTCGCACCAGATGCGCAAACGCCGGTGGCGCCATTTCGCCAAATTGACCTGACAGCATTAGCGGACTACGGAAGGGCACCAATGTCGATGCAACCACAATAAACAACGACACCTGGGTGCCACAGGGGCGGGGGCACCATCCATGTACTGGCCAGCAACTACTTGTTGAGTACTGTGCTGAGGTCTCTTATTACCGAGCTTGGGCATTTGGCCCAGAACTCTCCGTTCATGCAGGGATGCACTTTTTTTAGAGAGATGCGGCGGTCCCCAATAGGATATGGCAACTTATGACTGCGAGCACCAATGGCGGGCGGCAGTGTACAAACGACCGCGCCACCATGTGGGGAGTATATTCTGGCGGATCTGCCGCTGGCGGGAAGGCCTTGTAGCCTGTGGAGAGTGCCTGCCAGCGCAGACAGTGGGTAGTGGGAGCGCCGAGGGGGCTCACATGGCCAGGAATGAAGGGAGCGCGGAGCCTGGGCGGCTTCATGTGGTACAAATGTGCAGAGTTGGCCGATTGGCATTCTGGTGGCTGCACGTGGTAAACCTGGAACGTTGTATGACATTGTTGGCGCCGCAAACACCTACCACGCACGCAAAAAGCACCACAAACTGCCGCACTGCGTGTGGGCAAGGTCACGATGCTAATACCTTTGTGTGGCATTAGACGGAGGAGCCAAGGATACCAACACATTCTTATATGTCGTGCGTGTAAAATGCCCCAAGGAATGTTAGCTGCTCCGGCCTGGCATCAGGAAAGTCCAAAATACCACAAAAGCCGTTAAATGTTAAGGAAAGGAGTCGATGCAAAGCCCATCTGCATGCCATGCTTCACCCTATCGAAGTTGCTGAATGTCAATGGGACCACGTAATTGAGTTCAAAAGTCCCGAAAACGGTCGGAAACACGAGCCCTGCGCCCGCCGAGGTTCGAAACGACGACCCAAAATCTTTCAGGGAGGTCTTCAGAGGGCGTCCAGAGCCACACAGGAGCATTGTGTTGCCGGCATTGAAGAATGCGTGGCCATATATGCCAAGCCATTGCAGGCTGCTGTGTGGCAAGTCGAAATTCACCTGGAAACGAAAGCAAAAGGCACTGTCAGGCTATTCCCAACAGAACGTGTCACCGTGATAGAACCAGTGCCACTGACTTGTAGCCATGTCGGAATAGCACAACATGCCACACGGCCCATGGCCAGTTCACAGAGCTGTGCCCTATTCCCAGGCACTTCCTACGAATGCCTCGCACATTCGGGTCGACCCAAACGTGGCAGGTATCCAAAAGGAATGGCAAATTGAAAGATAAAGATCCATGCAATCGAGCTCACAGGAGCAAGGCATGCGATGCAATCATAACTTGTCGTGCATTTGCTAGCCAATGTGCTCCTCACAGATTACTGCAACGACATCACAAAAACACTCTCGTGCATTTCAATGCAGCAATCACTCGTTACTGCGTAATGGTGGCGTGCCATGTGTCTGTTCTTCATGGAAAACCGCGAAACCCTATTTTTTGTCCGATGTTGCTTTTGTGTCATGTGGACAATTGTGGCCCCATTCAGGAGTTGGCTTCGCCCCATGCTGATATGCTTCCAATATATCCACAATCTGCTGTTTGTCGTTTGTGTTGTGGAGTGTACTCTGACTGACAGCAACGATAGCAACTCACCGCCGCTGAAACAGAGCACAGAAGGTCCCCTCCCAGGGCGTCTCGCGGCTGGGCTCCCACGTGATCCGAATCGTGGGAAGGCTGTGCCGTTTGTCGACGTCGTGCATCTGTGGGTCCCACGCCCCTTGCTTCGAAACCCCTCAGGGAGCCAATGCCCCCCAAGAAGAATCTGTCACCCACTCCAGTTTTTCTGTTCAGATAGCCCTGCCCTACTGGGAGCAACAATCCTGGCAACAACAGGCACATGGTTAGGGCAGCTGCTTCGCTCTGGGGGGTGCTGGGCCAACACAAAACCAGCGAAACACTGCCAGCAGAAGTTGCAATGAGTTATGATAAGATTCCCCCATTATTTCTCCATTGACTCTACCAGTGTGGAGTCGATGGCATAATCCACCAAACCTATTCAAGAGCAACAGCGTGGGAAAAGACTGATATTGCCAATCCCATAACACCCAGTCCTAAAACGTTTTGCCCTGGTAGCCCGCACACTGTTGCATCCAGACAGTGGGCCATACAAGGCTATTTTGTAACAGGTTTTCAGGAAATTCCTATCCCATACAGCAGACTCCCAGCGCACAACCTCAAAGGTTATTAAGGGAGCGATCTGGCATGCCATTCTCACCACACACGTCACCATTGCTTGAGGATTTGTGGGATTCTGACCAGGCGTTCTAAAACTGATGTTGAGTGGCATCTTTGGAGCACCACACTCAAGGTTTTCAAGCTCCTCTGCTCTGGTTAGGCAGCAGCATTCTGTCCACTTATCTGCTATGAGCATTTTGATGCTTTCTGTTGAGCGCTGGATGCAATTAAAAGACAGCAAGTACATATTCATATGGCATGGTTGTCCATGAAACAGCCAAGGAAATACCGCCAATATACTTTGGTGTGAATCACTTCTCATTCCACTATCTGGCAGTGCGAAATATGCAGCCTCGCATACTTTGCAGATGACCATGAGTTTGGAGATTGCATTCAGTAGCTCCAAAGCCTGTGGCACAAAAATAATGCCCGCAGCAGCACATACGATTCTGCAGCCACATCTGAAGGCATATTCAATGAACAGACTTCACTCACTAACAATGCCACACCTTTCACGATGAATGAGAATGCAGTCTGAGCTTTATGCATTATGGTCCCACATTAAACAGACAACTCTGGACAATCCAGTCACTCACAACCTAACCACAGATAGGCCTTTCCATAAACAAACTGTGGCTCCACCTCATGACAAATACCGGCAGCTACATAACAGCAGGTTCAGGAATATCCCAGTCACCAGTGTTTGGGAAAGCACTCAGACAGCCAAGGATAGTATGCCAAACAGCTGACCCCGTCCGTACACTCAGAGTCACAATGCAAACAGCTGCCTTGCTTGTGCCCACACAGTGCTCCACACTGTCCAATGAGCCCCAAAGGATGTGCTTGCCTTCTCAACACAAAGGACAACATGACCAATAGGAACCAGAGGCTGCACACAAGCTACAGTGTAAGCATACCAGTTGTGAGCTCCAGGCTGAGAGAGGCTGCCGAAAACATTGGCACTGCCAAGTGCAAGTCCACTTGCTCCTTGGCATATTTCGGCACACTGACGTCTGGAGATAGCCCACCAACCTCCGTCCGCATCCTGAAAGCGTGTCCAGACTTGGGCCTCCCAGACGACTCGCGCTTGTCCCAGTTGAAGTCATACGCCAAGGAAGACTTCAGGCCATGGCCCAGCTGCTGGCAGATGGCCGGGGATGCTAGGCGGGAGGGGTCAGACAGGAGGCGCCAAGCCAGGTCGTAGGTGAAGGAGTGCAGACCACCTGAACTGGACACATAAGTGCCACACATACATGACCTGATTCACAAACAAAGGGAGTCTGCAGAGAGCTGAGGGCATGAAGCTGAAGAGCACAAGCATGTGGGTAGCAGTCTCAAGCACCTTCAGTGAATCACTGCTGTGCTTGGAGTAAGGCTGATATACAATGTGGTGATCAGCAGATGTGGCTTACCATAGGATAGTGAGGCACAACAAGGTGGTTCAAAAATCTTTGGTCTTTGACCTTGGTTGTCCGGCTCAGGTTGGAAGTTCATCACCAGACGTAGGATACCTAGAGACAGCGTCTCAACTGCAAGCTCCGCACTGTGCAAATGACCAACAACTCGAAGCTGCCAGAATACTCACACACCAAAAAAGCTGGAAGCAAATCAGCACAATGTCAACATTCATGCCTAGCTGGGACATACTCTATCATCACCAAAGTTTCCAACCTTTGGCCCGTGTATGCATCTCACCGCTTGAATCCAACAGATATGCCTCGCGTCCTCTCAACAAATGAAGAATACTGCTGACATGACTTGAACCAGTTGAAGACCTTCAATTCTCCCTACAAGGCCATTGCCACACATTCTTTATGGCCATTTGCAATCGTTTGTACAAGGTAATGGTTCACGACTGTATGATTGTTGTTGTTGTTTGAACTTCATCCCATGTTCTTATCATCCCATGCTGCAGCATCTTCAGGAGAACACACAGAGCGTGGCAAGACAGAAGTCAGATACCACCCATGACAAACGTTATCAAGTAGATTGTCATCATACACTAGAAACACATACACAATGATATGTGCAATATGAGATTGGATGGACAAAGCCAATGCGCTGGGTGCCAATGCATCTGGTGCACACCCAATCTGCACCATGCAAGTCAACATCAGGCCTCTTCCCTTATAGTATTCCCACCATGTTGTGTTGTTTGGGGACACAAGAGTGGTTGCTCACGCATGTCCCAGATATACCACGGATTCCGGCAAACCAGCCTCATCGCACACAGCCATCCGCTTCACGGCCCCGTTGTTCAGTCTGCACATCATGGGCTGCGCTCTCTCCACAGCTGGGCGACGCCAGAGCGCCTATCCTCTCACAACCCCCTCAAAAGCAGTCAGCCTGCCAGCAACAAACTCGCCCTCCAACAACAAACAGAACGGGCGCGGCACAGCATCGAGTCGCCGCCACAACAGATGGCACCACTGCCGGCCGCCACAATCTCCCGCCCACCTCGTCCCCCTCCAGCAGCTCGCCCTCCACCGACGCGAACAGGTCCAGCTCCTCCAGCGCGACCATGCACTCCGCCACCCGATCCTGGATCTCCTCCAGCGTGCGGCCCTCGCGCACCCTCTCGAGCTCCCGCGACGTGAGCGCCGGGGTCGCTCGATGCAGCCCGTGGACCTCGATCTGGGCCACGCGGCAGGGCCTGTCCTTGACCAGCGAGAAGAGCTCGGACACTTCCCCGGGGGCCTCATTCCCGGCCCCATCGCCGGCGTTTCCTCCGCCCTTCGGCTGCGCGGACGCGGGGTGGGCCCCACCGTCCTGTGGAGCCTGCGGCGGGGCAGGGGGGCCGTCCTCAGCGACAGGCTCGCCTTCGCTCGCCATCCGCACCCACTTGCACGCCTAATCGGACGACTGCAGGCGCACCGGTGTAGAATCATATATACCCCTGGCCGTAGCACGTGGGTCACTTGCTGAGTCATCGGAAGGGGCATCCCGGGGACAAAAGGGTAGCGGGGACTTGGGGCGATGGCCGCGGGCGGTTTGCGACTGGCCACATGTCTTTTCCGCACAAGTCGTGCTTCAGGTTGGTGCCGGCGGGCAGGCAGCTGGTCACCGGGCTGGGTTTTCGGCTTGGGCACGGCAGGCCGGCCCCGCACCTCTGCCCGCGGGCGCTGGGGGCGTCGGGGATCGCCGATGCGCCTGCATCGTCCGCGGGAGCCACGGCGGGGAATCCGCCCGCGGATGGCCCGGCGTTCAAGGCGTACATAGATTTCAAGGCCATCAGAGAGAACTTGGAGGAGGTGAGGGACAACTGCAGGAGGAGGAACAGCGGAGCCGACCCGGACCTGGTGGTGTCGCTGTACAACGAGTTTGTGGAGGTCAGCCGGGAGTGCGATCGGGCGAGGGCGGCCCGGAATGAGAACAGCAAGTCGATGAAGGTTGGGCAGGAAGGCGGTGCTGGGTGCGGGATTGGATCCACTGCCAGCGGAAAGGCCTGGGCGTTTACCGCTGTTTGTTGGCAAAATCATGGGCACTCATTTGGGCAAGATTAGCCAGATCAATGGCATTGTTGGGAATTCGTTGATGGTCGGAAAGATTATGATTCATTGTTCGATAGGAGCGTGCGCAATCGCACCTATCATTTCGCAATGTCATCTTTCTTTGAAGTGGGGTGACTGGAGAAAATGGCATAAGCCCGGCTGTAGGATACACCTGGTGACAAGCACATGCTTCCATTATTTCAGGGACAGATGGAACCCAGCGACCGGCAGGCGCTTATCGAAAAGGGACAGCAACTGAAGGATGAGCTCGGTAGACTGGAAGGAAGGCTTACTGACATACAAAACACTATGCAAAGAGAGGCCCAAAAGATCCCAAACCTAACACATCCACAAACGCCAGATACAGAGCCTGTCTTGGTGAAACAGGTGAGGATTATGGCGCTATGCATGTGTGACTATGTCTCCATTCAGTGTATCTGGTGCAGAGGCATCAATTGCTTGTTGCAGGAGCCCCTTTGGGATGTCACTCCCCCTGAAAGCTGACATCTGTGCATGGATAAAAAGCTCTCAGTGTGTGGTGCATGTTTCTGTCCTTGCTGGATTAGCAGATTCTGTGGCCCTGACTGTGGGTGTGGATGGTGCTCAAGCCTGCACCTTACCACTGCTTGTCCCATGTTTCCATTTTTCCACATCGCTACATGTGCAGCTGCCATTGGTATTGGAGCCTATTGATAGTAGAGACGTTTGGTTCAAGCAAGGTATTGGTCTGAATTGGTGCATTCTACAGCAACGGCTATTGACTGGAGGTCCATGCCCTTGGCGCTTCGACCCATGACCATGCCCAGTGTTGGGAGCCTTCTGACAAAGGTCCCTCTGACGTTCAGGTGCTTCGTCTGGCCTTCAGGTTGGGGAGCCCCGCGACTTCAAATTCAAAATAAAAGATCATGTTGAACTAGGAGAGGCACTTGACATCATCGACTTTGATGCTGGTGCACAAGTGAGTGGCAGCAAATTCTATTATCTTCGCAACGAAGGGGCGCTACTGGAGCTGGCCCTTGTGCACTGGACGTTTGCCAAAGCTGTGTCCAAGGGTTTTGTGCCTGTGACTACTCCAGACCTCGTGAGGTCCAGCGTGTTGGAGATGTGCGGGTTTCAGCCACGGGCTGATAACACGCAGGTGAGCAAAACGACGTTGCTTATTTCTTCAGAGTTTGGCATGTATCAAGGGCAGCATTGGAAGGGCGTTGACAATGCTTAAGTTGCAAGCACTTTCACCATCGCATTGCGATATACTCTATCATGTTATCTCATGATATAACATGATGCTAACATAAGCTGTGTTGGCAGCATCGGCTGAATCGCAATTGTGAAGCCTGCTTATGGGGTGCAGGTGGACCCAGCCCCAACTTGATGCAGCCACAATTTTGTTGTACTGTATTGATTGGATGCCACGGTGTCCATAGCACCACTGCTGCCATCATTGGACAATGCGTTTGTTATGCGCCTTATGGAAGGCATTTGCAAATTACAGCATTTTCCTGTCAACACAATCTTTAGTAGCCATGAGCAATTTTCTAGCAGCAGTTTTTGGTTACGATGCCTGAGCTTGGTTCTGTGGATCATCTTCCAAACAGGTGTACAGCATCGCCGATTCCCCTCTGTGCCTCACAGGCACAGCAGAGGTTCCACTTGCTGGCTCATATATGAATCGCATACTGAAGTCTGCTGACCTGCCTATCTGCATGGTTGGTTTTGGGAGGTGCTTCAGGACAGAAGCTGGAGCTGCGGGGATGGCTGGCAAGGGTCTTTATCGTGTGCACCAGTTTAGCAAGGTCGAATTGTTTATATTATGCACACCTCAGCAGAGTGAGGACCTGCTGAAGCGCCTTGTTGACTTTGAAGAAGAACTCTATGCCGAGCTGGGTCTCCACTTCAAGGTGATTGAGGCAAGGGGAACCTGAACTTGCACCATTAAGCATCCTTGCATGGACCATGGATATGTGCACACTTTACTGCTAATGTTGGCGGGCAGATGCATGAATACTTGGTGAAGGATTGCCTTTGCAAAATCCGGGATGGTTCTGGAGCATGTTCAGGACTGTTTGTTGTGCTGGTGCCGAATGCTGAATGTTCTGGCCCTGTGGGTTGCACACAGATCCTGGACATGCCAGCATCTGACCTTGGGGCCCCTGCTGAAAGGAAATTTGACATGGAAGCTTGGATGCCGGGACTACAGAGATATGGGGAACTGTCAAGCGCATCAAATTGTACTGACTACCAGAGTCGAAGACTGAACATTAGGTGTGCAACATTCAAATTCTTGAAACCATCTTCAAAGATCTATGTGGGGACAGTGTTGTCTTTACTGCACAACTACAAGAGAGTAATGAATACTCTGAAAACCAGCACATGTGGGGTGAGCGGTGCCCCTCATCACCTTGCTTGTGCAAGGCAGTGCTTTGTTGTGCGACAAGAAGTGTATCTCAAATATCACATTGAGCAATGGGCTCAGCCAGTGTGGCTCACAAGGTTGCCGAACTGCTACCACGTATCGCTTGCAGACAAGTTGTAGCTTTTCAAAATGGGTGTGAAGGTCCCACTTACTGCCAAAGCTCTGGCTTGGTTGCTGTTGCTTGCAGGTATCGACCTGATGCGGATGCTGCTGCATCCGGTGGAAAGAAACAGAAGAAGTTGCCCACGGAGTTTGTGCATACCCTGAATGCAACTGCATGTGCAGTCCCTCGTCTCGTTGTGGCCATTCTGGAAAATTTCCAGCAGGAGGACGGGACTGTTGTGATTCCGAAGCCGTTGATACCGTACATGGGCGGTGTGGACCGGATCATGAAGTTTTAGGCTCACCAGCACAACAGAAGTCAGGTTGGGTTGGATATTCTCTTCTATGAGGACGCTTTACTTGTGGGAGCATCCCAAATGCTTGCACGATTTTACAGCACTTTTAAATGATTTTCTCAGCACAGCACTCAGCAGACAGAATCGGGACTGCAGGGTTGAGTGTGTTGGCAGTGAGTATATGTGTGCGCAGCAGTGTTCTGGTGCGTCTTGTCAAACACAGCTGACATCATCCTCTCACACATATGTGTGGCAGTATGCCACGAAACCAACAGCTGTTGGACATATCGCCTTGAGATTGGGATAGCAGTTTGAAAATGCTGGAGGGTTGCATGCTGGCATATGGGATGCCAATTTTAGACAGTGGCAGTTTCGCCCAAGCAACACCATGAGAGCCATAGCATCTCAGTGGGGATGCTTTGGGCTGCGTCGATGCTGATGAATTGTCACATCAACGACATGGACACGAGTATATTGCAGTAGCTGCCAACATTGGATCCTGAGCGATCCTCAGGGCCTGGGGTGGCTCGCCAGGAAGCGCCATTGGGCTTCTACTTCTGCTCATCTTTGATCCAGTCGTTGACCAAGCAGAGGAGGCCTGTCGTCTGCAGGAAGAGACAGCAGTGGAAAGCAATTCTTGCGCACGATGTACCCGGCCATCTTGCGAGATCCTGGATGCAAGGCCTCAATGTCTTGCCCCTCGGAGTCCACCAGCCGTCCCCCAATGTTGAAGTAATGGATGAGGCCGCCATAGAGGTTGTGCACCTTCCGACACAGGTGCTCCGATAGCGAAAGCGCGGCTGCTCCGCCTGCAGCGACAGGACTTCGCTGTGTTGGGGTTCCTCAAGGAGTCTCAATGGAGAAGCATCAAGGCATGCAATGCAGTCCGCGTCCCCTACCAGGGCAGAAATTTGAGGTGCATTTGAAAGATTGCTGCAGCATTCTTTCCGGCTGGAAACCCTCTTGGCTGCCAATGCAAGCATGGCAGCGGGGTTGAGTACGCCGTCTGACCATGAGAACGAACAGGGTTCGATGTGCAGCACATCCAAGACGGCTGCGCCAGTAGTGGAATCTAGCCGGTTACCTCTTTCCCCAGTGTTGCAAAAGGCTACGATGATGGTATGAAGCCCGCTCTTGCCCCCATCTTCAGATGATGGGGATGTTTCGTACAGGAAATCGAATCCGTGGGCATCCTGAATTGCGACACGGTAGCCATATGGTGCAGAAGAGTCTCTTTCCAAATGAACCGGTACAGAGTTTGGAATGGTAGACACAGCCTGCATATGTCAATTGGACAAGCCTGTTAGATCTTAAGGCTGTTGGCAAGGAACAACCACATGTGGCTGCGTTGCTGCGACAGTTCGATAGACAGATAGTCCGGGCACACCATGCAGAGAGTGGTCTCGACATCCCAGTCCCAAATACACTGCACTTCCCCCTGCAAGCAGTGTGGTGTGGTCAACCTGCAATTCCACGCAGTGCCGAATCCCCTCATTTGTTGCAGGGCAGAGATGGGGGCCAATGGGGGTGGTGCCTTTTGCCTCAACCCCTGTGAAAACAACGGTGACTGCCTTTGTGCGCCTTTTGCCGCCCAAGGCAACCCTGGGGCTGCAATGGAGCGCTGAATGCTTGTGCTCGGCTCACAGTCCTCCCCAAAAGAGCTGCCTAGAGGGGTGTGTACTTGTTGACATGTTCATCCGTCAGATACATCTACCATAGGTCGAACTGCTCCACACACAGGCGCCCCACCCCCTTACTCTCTCTTCTGGTCTCCGAGCGTCAACCAAAGCGATGTTCGATGAAGGGTCCACCATGGCCGCTATGACGTCCTCCGCAAGTATTTGTTTTGCAACGTCCGTCGTTGGAAGAGCAGACACCAAAGCCGCGTACTTCCGAGGGATCTTCTCGTCGAAGCGCTTCGCAGACTGGGGGGGCGTGGATTGAAGCAGCATGGCAACGGTCCTGTCGAAATCTTCCTGGCTTTCGATTACCCGCAGGAAATGCACCATCGTGTCGACAAACTCGTCCTCGTTCACCTGGGGCCAGCTGACGCGTCATTGGTTCTACTCCTTTGTGAACAGCGGGCAGACAAGAAGATCAATGGGGCTCTCCATTGGAACCAAGGCACTTGGGCAACTGTGCCAAGGCATGTCCCTCAAGTGCCATGTGAACACGTGAGCGGGAGATGCACATCAAATGCTGCACAAACTCCACAGGAAAACACGCTTATGAGGGTTCAGGCAGCGGCGAACTAGCGCTAGGCTGCAATCTCTCATGTTCTTGCGTTCTTAGGGAACCCACCCGGTTGGAAAACTGGTCAAGTTCGAATGGCGGAAAATGGATCCCGTTCGTGCGGAGTACCACGTGGCATGTCGCAGGCATGCGACCAACAGCGGGTTGTGTGTACCTCACTGGAGACAACTGACGCATGGCGAGAAAGTTTCTGGCAGCCGATCAGCAGCACTGCCAGCCGGTGCGAATGTCTGACTGTGCGGCACCGGCACCTGACTAGGAGCGCTGCCTTGCCGTATGTGCAATTTGAGCCCCAGCAGGAGTTTCTTCAATTGCCGAAAGCGTGGGAAAACTCAGGAAATCCAACCCGAACCACTGTGCAGCATGCGCATGGTAAATCAGTAAGACGCACAAGAGACACAACGACACGTCTTTCTGGCCGGATGAAGACACTTGAGAAGCAAAGTTTGCTTCTTCTGGTTATATTTGCACCGCTGGACCTTGCATGCGGCTCCGTCTTCGTGGCGCCCGTACCGAATCCGATCCGTCCTTGTCCAGAAACCTCATGCTTTCCTTGATCTTTGCCTCGTCAGCAGTAGGGTCCAGCTTTCTGGCGAGGTGCACGATTTCGTGCGTCGTCAGCGTCCCCGACTGGTCTCGATCCAGCCTTTCAAAAACATAGCGCATCTTGTCTTCTCGCGTCTTGAGCTTCTTCACACGGGCTGCTTGCATAATGCCATGCACGACAGACTCAAACTCATCGTCTCCCATCTCGATAGTCTGCATAGCAAGAGCAGTCCAGCGATTGGAAGGCGATGGACAGCGCAGCCCGCCTACTCCGCAAACCCGTCATAAATAAGCATATCCATGTTACCATGGCGTGAAGCAAAACGTGGCAACCGAGTGCGGACAAAGCCACGGCATATGGCGAATGCGACTTTCCGCTGCTGGGTTTTCCATACAATTGCCCTTTGCCGCGCCACCGTTTGGGAGCACTGCAGATTGAAAGGACATGGCGACGTGTCCCATACGATCTCGCCCTGATGAGCGTCCCAGTTGGTGCTGTGCCTGCCGCTAGTTGCTTGTCGCTGCCAAGATTGAATTTCGGTGCCCTCAAGTTTCACCATTAGCGACATAGACTCCAGCCATCCATGGAGGTCCACCGTTCCCCCAACGCCGTTGAAGGCGTCCAGCAGGGACGAGGCACCCTCAAGCCTCTCTGCCCAGCCTGACAATGCCGTGAGCTTGTCTTCGTCGAGGAGGCTGCGTGAAACGCACATGGGTTGGGGGTGGGCGGGATACAAGCAGTCAAGCAGTCCCATGGAGGGGCAAAGTCTTTTGATGAAGGGACATAGTGTCATTTCTGCTAGGGATGATACCAGAGGAATTGCGTCGTGTTTAACGTCAAATTGACGAAGAGCTCGGACCCCCCTCCTTGCTGTCAGCCCTTATGTCGACGACACACCAACATCAGTGCTCGCATTTGGGCAGATAGGAAGCCTGATCACACACCATGTCGATGGTGGGTCTACCAGATTGTCGGCTGTATTAAGCCGGCTCAATGGACCACACTAGCCAATAACGCGACTCGAAATCGTATTGAGGCAACTGTAGCAGCTGTGGAAATGTCAGAATACGAGTTCCCAGTCGAGTGCCAGCTGCGAGTTGAATGCAGTGCATGTTTTCGGACAAATGACAGTAGTCCCGAAAACTACCACCCTGATCAGGGATGGTTTGGGCTCATGTGGCTTGCTGTTGCGTCAATTTTCGGGCGAAAACAGCAACGTCTTAGCGTCTCCAGTCTGGACCCCTCCGTCCTCAGCGACAATTTGCATTATGCATGAACATTTTCCCAGTCTCCCCCATTATTCCACAAAAATGCAACACGGAGGTGTAATTTGCTTCATTCCCGTACAGAACGTTGTGGCGCTGCTCAATCTTGTTCAGTTTAACAATGAAATCCAATGATATCCATTCTGTACCATTAAGGGGCCCAAACTAACCCTGTGATTCCCAGAGTATTCAATTATCCCTGTGATTCTCTCGTTGACACCTGCTCCACACTGTTTCCCAGGTCTGCAATGCGACATGAGGTGACAGGGTGGACAGGTGAACCACGCTGGAGGCCCTTCTCAATGACCTGACTGATGAGGACATTTGGGTGCCTGAAACCAATGCCGATGACACCATTAAATGGCCCTTCATGGCAAGGCCGCAGAACATCTGGTTGGCCGTGTGAAGCAGCCAAGAGGTGTGAAGACTCCTTGCAGATGAAGCAACGAAATTCACTTGCCCATCCCTGAAACTGATATAGGTGGAATGCTGATGGAATAGACGGAATCATGATTTACAACAACAGAGTTTCCTGTTGCACCCTGTATTCACAACAAGTCACACATGTTTGCTTACCCAGATCCATCCAAATCCAGGGCGTGAAATGCCTGTGTGAGTTGCTCCAGCCGACTACTTTCCGCAGGTGTTGCACTCCTTGATCCACTTGGTGGACTGGGAAGACTGTGGCCCATCAGCCATTCTGAAAGCCACCGCAAAGCACTGAAGGGCCTCCAGCCCTTTGGGAGGAAGCCGTCCTCATCCCATGAGACACCCGAAGCCAATGTCAGGCGATCCTTTTCCACCACCCTCAGCAACTCTGCCAGTCCTTCCCTCAACGTTGGCACCACCGAGCTGTTCAACCATTCCCGATTTCCTGGTGCGCGTTGCAAACGCAGGTGAAGAATAGAACCTCAAGCCTTTCTAATCGCACTTGAAGAAGGCCAGCACCATGTGGTGTCAGGAATCGAATCAATACCGCAATGAATTGCGAAGCTGTGGAGAAGGATGCACGACTGTGGGGTCTCTAACAAGGCAATTTTGTCTCTGGTTATTGTCCCTTTCGGGATTGAAGTAGGCACCAAATAGATTTTGGTTTGCTGGAACCTACCCCTGCCTCCCTCCTCAGAATCCAGCCTTAAATTTGGTGTCCACAGTATTTGCAGACAGCACACAGTGGCAAAGTTTGTATGGACATAAAAGTTGTGCTGTTGTGTATCTTGAAATCAGGCTGCAAGAGATGTTAGGGGCTTAGAGGCCTGCACAGGCTGCCACTGAAAGGCCAGGTCGCCAGCTGGTTTGGATTTTATCTCCCCTTCCCGTGCAAATAAGTTGAAATCCCAGACCATCTTCCCCTGTGACATGCACAGTGCACAGAACCATGCTGAAAACAATGCTGGGCTTGTACCATGTGGATGGGAGTACTCCTGCTCAACAGCTGCCATGCCAATCTACCCTGAGCCAAGAACACAGATTTCGCCACCTTATTACCAGCAAACACATTGCGCTTCTTGGCCCCAGCGCAACCACGGACGGTGGAAATGGCAGAACCTGTGTCGAAACTTGTGTCAGAGATGTGCTGGGTGGCCTCGAGGGCCGGAGCTGGCGTTGCCTGAGGTCCGCATGCCGGGGAATGCCACCCACGTCGCTAAAGGAACCGTCGCATTCCCCTTGGACAGCGGATTTCACAGGGCGCAGGGCAGGCTTTGCCACAGTTCATGCGGGATGGCGAGACGGGACGCAGATTCCCCCCAACTGACCGTCCCTTCCAGCGGTCACGCAAGACCCCAACCGCCGAGGTCCCAGCTCTCGACGCGCAGCAGCTCAGCACAGGCTGCTTCGACGGCGAAGCTCCCCGCATCATCTCTTTCCGGTGGCTCCCATTTCGAGGGCCAGATCGGAGCCCACAACAGACTGCGAGGGTAGCTCCCGGTGGAGCAAAACGGGGCGACCGTCCTGCCATGGGTGGGTGGCTGACCTGGTTTGCGCACGCGACTGTGGCCTGCGGGCCGGCGCTGTTTCAGGACGCGGGCCCGCTCTTCAGCGCCGCGCACGCTGAGGAAGGCGTGCTGCTTGGCGGAGGTTGCGGTTGGGCGCAATCTGCGTATTCGCCGCTTGGGCGCACGGGATAGTACAGCGGCGGGCGAGGCACCCGCTGTTCCTTATGGCCCGGTGGTGGAAGCTGGTTGCTGAGAGAAGCTGAGGATTTGATTGCTGAATTGCCCTGCCCTCAAACGGATGAATGTTGCCCAAAGCAGCCCCCTGAACATTCATCCGTTCCAGGGCAGGGCAAATTCGACGGCCATTCGCCCAGTCTCGTTTCTGGAACTCCAGTCGTCTAGTAGTTGAGTTATGCGGTTCACAGAACACTGAATACCCCAAAAGGGCTGGCAGCCGGACGTCTGAACTGCGACACCGAAGCGTTGCGATGAGCGGCGTGTCAGCCGTTGTTGCATTCTGCCGACCTGCCCTTAGTCAGCCTCCATGAGCCTATGGTGCTGGCATGTGATCTGTGACTGGCATGGGGGTGCTGACATTTTGTCACCTTACACCACCGCCACCAAGCACCAGAATCCAATAATGTTCTTCAAGGACTGCAGGGCGCAACTCTGCAGGAACTGCCATTGCTCCACACGACACACTTGCAGAAAGCGCTCTTCACTTCACAAACCCTCACATCCTTGCTTGTGGTGGGTCTGAGATGCTGACATCAGCCACTACCCTGACGGGGGCATCGACCTGAGGTCTATCAGATGTTTGCAGCTTGCGGCGTCTGAACTTGGTAGTTGTTCAGATTTCTGACATTTCTGCCACATGTGCGGAGTTCTTATGTTGCCATCTGTTGCCACCGGTTGTTCTCGCCGATGTTTGCCGATTGCTGCCATCACCTGCAGTTCTGGTCAGCTGCTTTTGGTTTGTTGCCAACTGCCTCGTGTGACCCAATCAGTTGGGGAGAATTCCCTGACAGAGATTCTTCACGTGCCACTTGCATGACAAGGAGAAACTGCCTTGGCCCTGTTATCATTAGCGACATTGCATATCAAGGCAGTGCATGTGCATTCTCCGTAGTTTGTAGGGGTCGACAGCATTTCATCGCAATAGGCTAGGGGCCCAGAGGCCGTGGCCTCACAACAAGGTTCGAAATTAGCAATGCCGGCATCCCAACTTGTTGCTATTTGTACTCCGAGAAGTTCTTGTGGCCTGTGGCCTTTGCATGCTCCACAGCATCCTTTTCGCCCCTGAGGCCAGTGAAACATTGTCCGCACCGCAACTTGAAATGTGCTGTATCAGTGAACTGGCTTGCCGCATTCAATTTCGATACCTGCAGCCACCAGGTATGGTACCAAGTCAGAAACAGCAGCAGCTGCCTACCCAACACGAAACAAATAGCCGCCATAAATGGGACCTGCATGGGGGACTCACATACACATCGAAAAATGCACATATTCAACTGCAAATTTATTGTACTCAAGGACACATGTGAAAAGGACACCTTCACAAATAAATTTTGATTGCATTTACGGCCAGCAGCACAAGATCGCAATCCAAATGTTGCATCATACCAATGTCTTCGCTCCTTGCATGATCATATTTCCAGTTGGGGTTGTTGGGTTGAACTTTGTGATGTCCAGCTCCTCATCCGCGTGTTCACTGTGGGCCACTGCCAAAGCATCGTAGTGCAGGCCATCATAAACAACCATCACCAGGTCCTGGTACCCTTCCTCTTGGCCATACACATCACACCTCATTGTTCGAATGTCAAAGGCAGCAATCTGTGTCCGGTAGTAGGCAGAGAGGATGGCAAGCTCTATTTGGCCACCCCAGCGTTCGGGGTTTAAGATCCACTTCTGATACTCGGATGTGGTTTTGCCCAGGACACCCTCATTGTAGGTGGTTGGGTCCTCAGCAACAGCGGCTGCAATGATCTGCCTTAAGTCATAGCCCTTCAATCGGTTTTGCTCCACGACATATGCAACTGACGTGAACAGGCACGAGTTGTCTGCATCAACCACTCTGCGGACGATGTGAGTGCCATCAGCCAGTGCCACAGATGATACTTGCTTGCTTGATCCTGAACAAACAACAAATCTGAAAGTTGTCAGGTGAGGATCTCCAAGTTCCATTCACCACCCGACTGTTCATCATAAGGCTGTTCCATCCATATGTTCATGCCTGACTGTAGCATAGCTCCGGAAAGTGCAGAATGCGCAGCATCCAGCAAAATGCACAGCAGTCTGCAATACAGGTTCGATACCATTCAGAACCTTGTGGGCACTCGTCAGACTGGCAGTCCTGCTGGAAATAAGTCAGCAAGGCATACAGCAAGTACAGTGTTAGTGTCGCTTGTCTGTCAATGCAAAATTGGGCCCAAGGGCTATGCACTTCACCATATTCATGAAACACAATCACCGAAGTTCCAACCATTCTGGCTTGTCATTCCAGGTTTGCAATAATCCCAAATTGCTGATGGCAATGAATTCAAATTAGTCTCATTTTGGATTCAACCAACAGAGAGTGTTCTGCCTTTCATATTCTATATTATGACGAATACATGTGGGATTCAGCAACCCAGGAGGCACAAACAATGACAACAGCATGCAAAAATCGTGCCATAACTGCCCATTGCATGCATCCTAGGCGTTCACGCACCAGCTCCCCTCACAACATCATCATGTTCTGCAGCTAATGATGGGCCAGGCACAGCTGCTGAATCCTCCATAGACAATGCCAAGGCCCTCGCAAGCTCCTCATCATCTGTCTACAAAATTCAGAGGTACATGACCCTCAGTCAACAGTTGCAATAGATATCACGCTCGTTTGGTTGGCAGATTTTGATGCCAACACAATGTACAACAGCCACAGCCACTGCACTTTGCTGTTTCTGTTGACAACCTAACATGTGCTTCCCACAACAGCTGCTGTTGCCCATGGGCACAACACGAACAGAAGACCATCAGCTGGACAATTTGCCCCACAGATTTGCAACAATAGAGAGCAAGCACACCATCTGCAGTGTGGAAACACAGAAAATGGGCACTGTAACTCACTGTGTCAGCTTGTTCCACCATTGCTGAACGATGCACGGAGCTGTCAACCGCCCTCAGAAACTCGTTCTTTCTGACTACAATCGTCTCTCCATGCTCTATGCCAAGTGTCGATATCGCGGTGTTCCAAGGGTCAGCAGGGAGCTAAAAGCAACTGAAGCAACACAGGTCAGCCTTGCACTTTGTTCCAAAATTCTTGTATTCTGCAAGGTTTACTATGGTCAACTTGTTTGCACACCGCTATGGCCACGGCTACCAATCAATGGTGCATGATAGAGTCCTTCGAAGCGAGATGTCTACAGCAGACAACATTGGGCACATGGTTGGCCACATCGCACAGGAAACACAGACTGGTTTGCTGCAAAATGTAGCTGGCTATTGCCACTGAAAGAGAGTGCAACCACTGCAGCCTGTTTGGAACAGGATGGCAAGCCAGTGACCAGCCATAGAATCAGTATGCACACTACATTGAAAGGTACTTTACAATAAAATCGTGCCTTGGCAACAATTCTGTACTGTCTCCCCCTGGCTTGGCTTTTAACACCAATTTTTTTTGTGCATTAGTCATTTTGGGAACAAGAAATTTGGCCTTTTGTTTCAGACTGTGTCGGCAGAAGGTCACTGCTGTTATTTGTGCATCTTCTTTCACACGTGCTATTTTGCATTGCAACAAACCAAAGGAAAGCAAATGCAAAAATGGACACATCCAAGAAACCGCCCCATACTGCAATTGGAGTTTAGTCGTAGCAATGCATCCCAATGGAAGTGTTAGAAAGAACAGCACAACAGACCGAATAGTGCAAGAGACCTCCTGCAAGAAAATAGGTTGCAGACGGGGCCGCCACGAGGGAGCTGCGTGTTCGAAACCCAGTCAGGCCGATCTGCTGAGATCACGTATTCCGCAATCGAGCCAAAGCGTTCTTGGAGACGGCAACATTCCGCCTATGATTCCTCCAGAAAAACGATTGGATACGTTGATAGGCACGCTTTCCGAACTCACTTCTGCCACGGTCTTCAATGCTGCGCAGCAGTTTTCGATTGCGTGTGAAAAAGCGCGCAGCAACGAACAACGCTCAGCAACAGCTGCTTTTCCATCGGGGCAGAGCTCTGCAATGCTGGACAACTCAGCTTCGGAGCAGTCCCAAGCACAGTCACCTGCACAAGCTTCGGCGGAAACCCCACAAGCACCTCCTGAGCATCAGGCTCCACTCCTGTGTCCTTGGCAAGCAGGTCCTGGAAGGCCGCCACGCTCATGGACGGGTCAAGTCCTGAACGACCACACAAAGGACTCCAGCCATTAACACTGGTGAGCGGAGCGAGTTTCGTTGCGCCTGTGCCGCAAAATAAGCCTGCAGGTAAGACACCCGGGGCAGAAGCGTGAGATTGAATGCCGCAGCTTTTAGCAGATAGCCCCTTGGCCTGAATGTCAGGCGTCGGTTCACGAACGCCGGAATGAACAGCTTCGCGTTCTCGTTGCGAATCCTAAAAATTTCAAACCGGCGCACATGCATCTGTATCGCATTCTGGCTAGCAACAACCGGCCCCAAAGCATCCGTGTCGGAAACGAGACAAAAGAAACATAGGTGCCCTGAACGCTCGCCAGGCGCAGTGATCGCATGATCTCGGCTCCTGAAAGTGCCGTCCAACGAAGGCGCATGGCCTCACCGTCGAACTTCACCGTCTGGCCTGTGGGCCCGCGGCATCGGAGAGTTATCGTCATGCCGACGTTCGGCACAACTTGACCTCTGCCTCAGAGGCTTGCAGTCCCACTTGCGCCCACCGATGTCTGCACGTTTTGGGGGTGACGTTCAGGGGGCTCACTGTGGGCCCAACGACCCAAGCACACTGCCGAATTTCAAATGCTACATGAACATGACACGAATCTGTTCGGGTCGCCAATCATGGCTTACATTACAGACAATTAGATGCTTATGATCAGCACATGAGCTGGCGCTCCGTGTGGTCCAGAATTCAGCGAATTGGCAGTGAGAAATCATCATCAAAGAATGATGGTGCACATGCGTGTGTGTGTGGTGAGCGGAGCGAGTTTCGTTGCGCCTGTGCCGCAAAATAAGCCTGCAGGTAAGACACCCGGGGCAGAAGCGTGAGATTGAATGCCGCAGCTTTTAGCAGATAGCCCCTTGGCCTGAATGTCAGGCGTCGGTTCACGAACGCCGGAATGAACAGCTTCGCGTTCTCGTTGCGAATCCTAAAAATTTCAAACCGGCGCACATGCATCTGTATCGCATTCTGGCTAGCAACAACCGGCCCCAAAGCATCCGTGTCGGAAACGAGACAAAAGAAACATAGGTGCCCTGAACGCTCGCCAGGCGCAGTGATCGCATGATCTCGGCTCCTGAAAGTGCCGTCCAACGAAGGCGCATGGCCTCACCGTCGAACTTCACCGTCTGGCCTGTGGGCCCGCGGCATCGGAGAGTTATCGTCATGCCGACGTTCGGCACAACTTGACCTCTGCCTCAGAGGCTTGCAGTCCCACTTGCGCCCACCGATGTCTGCACGTTTTGGGGGTGACGTTCAGGGGGCTCACTGTGGGCCCAACGACCCAAGCACACTGCCGAATTTCAAATGCTACATGAACATGACACGAATCTGTTCGGGTCGCCAATCATGGCTTACATTACAGACAATTAGATGCTTATGATCAGCACATGAGCTGGCGCTCCGTGTGGTCCAGAATTCAGCGAATTGGCAGTGAGAAATCATCATCAAAGAATGATGGTGCACATGCTGTTGGCAATGATACAAGGGGATTACATCAGCGCACCCAATCAACGAAAAGGTCAGCGCAATTATGCGCCTGCCCGATGCATCATCGTGACATGCAGCATGCTAATGCTAGAGGGGTGCACGCTGCCGGAATGCATCACTTTTGGAGTGACATGGCGAAGTGCTGGTTTGAGCAGCGGGCTAAAAAAGCAAAGCAAAGGTGCGAGCGAGTGTCCCAAGAATATCCCAAGACGACGTGCTTGGCGTTTTTTTTGGAAAGTTGGAGCAACGGGCATGGCTGCATAAGGCTCGCCCCACGGAATGATGAGACCAAGGGAGGCCATGGCGGACAGGGATGCAGCATTGAAGATCAGGTCACAGACAGCAAGAGACAGTGAAACGCAATCATTGGCCATTTATGCCATGCGCCAGAGCAGCGAAATGTACACGCACCTGTCGACATGTACTACGTCAGTGCGTTGAATCCGCAATTCAGCTGCGACTCAATACATGACTCCCATGCTCATTGATCGGAACATGAGTCAAGACGTCGACGTGCAGCTGTGTGAGTCCTCAACCACTGCTGTTGAGCGAGGGCGTCTGAATTTGCATGGGCTTCAATGTCAAAATGATGTGGAAATGATGAAAATTGGGCTGCAAGGGCGCTCGATGTCACCTCTTTTCTACCTTTGTGTTTGCTGTGTTTTTTGTTTTATTTCTCATTGCACATCACAGCCAGAATGGAGACGCGGCCCGTCGAGTGAATGAACATCAGAGCTGGTATGTGTTTCGCCATGTGCTGACATGGATAGAAAGCCCATGGATGCACTGGGTGAGTGACATCGTGTCGCTCGAATAGCCATGACGGCAGCTGTTGATGTCCGCCAGTTCTTTAATCGAGTCTGATGGGCTAAGGCGTAGAGAATTGAATTGACGTTTTTTCTGTAGCTTGGGCCGCGTATCGTGCAGGCGTGGTGCAACTTTTGCACGAGGATTATGTCAGCGGCCGGCAATAGCTTACAAAAATAGAACATCTGTCCGGGGATAGGACGGGCTGGGAGGGAATCTGATGTGAACTCCCAGAGTTGATAGGACATTTTAAGGTGCAAAGTGGATCGACGTGGTCACATGTACGAGGTTAGATTGGGCCATTTTGGGTGGTTGCCTCAACATGTGCGGCTTCACAAATTCGCGCTATCCGATTCTGAAGGGGGTGCAGGGGAACGAACAAGTGATTTTGAAGTTTTAAGCACTTTGTTGGCGTTCTCTGAACGTGCCGTCTTTGCCCGCAGGTCGTGGCATGTAGCCCGACCAGTTTGGCTAGCAAATCAGCGGGTTTCATCAACATAACCTCGGATTTTGGTGTGGCGCACCCATGGCATTCTCAACAATCGAGGTGCATGGGGTCTGAGTGAATCTGTATGAGTCGCCGGGGTTTCCGTCAACGTTTCTGCCCACATTCTTTCAGTTTGCATGCGCCTGAATGCCCACAGCCCATGGGCCGTTTGTGCATGGATTTGGTGGCCGAATTGCCAGCGATGGGCAGGCAAGAGGCGGGATATCCCCGATTTCATTCCCTTTGTCGTGCTTCTCAACCGTTCTTGGATAGGGGACAGGCAAACCTTTGAAGGTGATCGTGCACCAGATGTCCTGGGGCCCAACAAGCATATCGTAAGACATGTGAGTGAACTTCGCCACCTGCTGGCGTCGATGAGTTTGCACCCACAACCCTGAACACATGTGGCCTGGATAATGCTGGTCGTTATGGGGTAAATCGAACCAGGAAGCTTAGGGCCGTTGATTTGCGGCATGAGTTGAGTCAGTGACTGCAACGTATGACCTTATATGTAAGGGGCTCAGCCCCAAGAGACACTCCCCTCCACTGTAACCCATTGCTGTGCTCTCAGGCCAACGAGTCCCCTCAGGGGTTCCCACCCCTCGGCCCTGCCATTTTCATAAGCGTTTCTCAGTGTCATCAACTGGCCATCAACAAATCCACTTGTCACACAAGGGTGGGGCACACTCGAGCCCTGCAGATTCGCCAGCAAGGTGAGCGTGCCCCTTGCGGACACGCGGTACTTTCACACAAACAGGCACTAAAACCCAAAGTAGAACTGTGCGCTCATTATGACGCAGAAACACATCTCTTCACTTTTGCGCTTAGTTTTGCGTGAAATGCCTTTACACTGAGCCATTTTTGTATCGTACAGGGACCGAAGCGCATCAACGATTCTGCGAAGAGGCGTCCAGATGTTTAGGACAATTGTTTGTGGGACGGCGTTGGTTCGCATTGCGAGGGTGAGGTGCACCCTGTGGTGGGGTATCTCGAGGAGGCAGCAAGCCAAAAAATGGCGAGCAACAGCGTGAAGCAAGCATGGTTGCGTTGCCACAATCTAAAATTTGTTTTGCCCCAATCGACAAGCACGCGATTAAATACACTTACGTGTGATGGCACATAAAAATGCAAACGAAAACGTGGCTGTCGAACGGCCAACAAGAGACAATCATGCTTGCCATTGCAATATGTCGCGTATAGCCACAAACCCTATAGCTTTTTCTATTGAGCTCGAGTGCCTTCAGCCAACCCTGGCTCAAGCTCATCGTCTCACGCAGCCACTTCACGCGCAAGTGCATGTTGCATATGTGTTCCACTTCTAGTCCCAGGCAGCCACTATTTGGGGACCACCAGGGTGGTTGATGAGCCACTCAACAGCTCACGGTGACCACAAGATAGTAGCCTTCATGGCAAATACAGTGATCGTAACCGCAGCGCGTCAGCAGAGCACCACCCAATCTTGTGATTGAGATACCCTTGGAAAGGCTGGAATGCTTTACCTGTGACAATTGTCACCTCCACAAGCTCATTTACACCAACAGGTATTTATGCGTCAGTCGCTGTCATTGACCACCGTTGCCAATATCGTTGTTTGCCATGTCATTGCACATACAGTCATTGCAACATTCACGTGTCTATTATTCATTGTGATGTTGAATGGTCCATCAACACCCAGTGATACGCTCATAACCAGAAAGGGACCTACTGCCGCACTGGCGTCGAGAAAGTACACAACCGGCACCAAGTGTGCCATACAAACTGTGCAAGGATGGCTGCAAGAGGGCTAAGGCTCCCCATTAGATTGTGACAACCCTTCGCTCCCAAAGGTGCTCAAACTCCCTTCTAGAAGGTCTGGAAGGACGACTCTGAACCTTCAAGCGCGTCACCCTGCTGGTTGGCCGTGAAAAGGGGAGTCCAGACATTGTTGCCAGCGTTCACCAGCGCATGGGAACGCATGGCGTGTCGAATGGCGAGTACTTCGCCTCTGTCGTCCTGGTGCCAGGAAGCCTGCCTGGGGTCTGCTCCTTGAAGAGAGACGGTGCCTTCCTGGATTGCACCCTGGGCCATCTCTGGCAGCATCTGGCTTGCACCTAGTCGCAGGAGTGAATCTGATGGCTCCGAATCGTTGGAGCTGTAGTCTGCGCTTTGGGAGCTGTCGCACATCATATTTTCTGAAAAGTCAGCCAAAGTACTGCTGCCCTCCAGCATGGAACATGCCACTGCTCTCCACACCGCAATCCTGGGCTCTCCACCGCATCTGCCAGGAAATTGTTGCTGGGCACAACGGGTACGCTAGAGTGGGTGGCCATCATGGCACCATCTCCACACGAGTCTGTGCATACGGCACTGCTGGTCCCAAGAACATCCAGGCGTTCATGAGTAGAGGGCAGAGGCAGCGGCCTCTCATATGGAGGTTGCCAATTTGGGTGGCCCCTGACGAGACTAAAGTGCCCAGGCATTCTCTTGAATTGACACCAACCAGGCTAGACTTTGAATGCAGCGGTTCCTGCTTTGAATTTTCCCGAGGCATAGTTGCAGCGCTGCTCTCATCTCCAAAACTCTCCCTGTCATCATCCTCCGTATGCTGTTGAGTTCTGGACGGTTTCGCAAATCCCCCTCGCACCGAGCTACTTGGCAAATGTCCATGAGAGACAGCCCTCTGGCTCTGTGGGATTGGCCACTCCACGTTCTGCCACCAACACACCACCAGAGCCCAGTTGTTCCAGTGTTCCACTGATTGGTTCAGTCGCGTTATGCGCCACAGGTGGTGTTTCTGATGCCAATAATCTCTTAGGCCCAAATGATGCTCTCAAACAATCCCAGCCGATCTGCGATGTTAGATGTCCCCCACAGGCAGGGAGCTGAATTCTTGCTGTACATGGATGACCATTGATCCTTGCCTCGATGGTTGGCACTCTTCGCTTGAGGGATTGTCTGATGCGCTGTGAGGTGATTCTCTGGATGACGACTCTGTTGGACTGTGCACACTCTGCTCGTTTGTAGATCCCGACCCCTGTGTGAGCATCTGGCTATGTGCGGAGTACAGCGACAAACCACTGGTATTCGACCCTTGTCTCCCCATTCTGCTCTGTGCCGACTGCGGCGACACCCCACTCGTATTCGATTCTTGCCGAATCATTTGCCCCTCTGAACTGCGCATGGAGGCGTCACTGCACGACGCATCTCCAGAGATGTAGATGCTCACTGAGCGCAAAGGCCAGTGAGGAACATGTGTCTGAATGCTGGTCCCTGTACCACCCCTTGATTCTTCACCAAATGACGATACCGAATCGTCAGATGCGTAGCCAACGTCAGCGACAATCAATTGATGAACAGCCAACGGACTCCACTGGCTTGAAACGTCACTAATAGAGCGCTTCACACTGTGCGCTTGCTGCTCTGGTGGTGTAACAGGACTTGGGATCCCCCCTAGGGCCTGTGACACCTCTGTTAGCGTCGCACGGGTATGGCTGGTGCTCATTTCACCATCCTCTGTCCCCTCATCTATTGTCGCCACTCTCCCATGAGGGGATAACATGTCCTCTGCCACGGGCAAGGGGGGTTGGTTGACGCCTGTGTGATTCTGCGCCGCCAAACCCATGCAACCAGTCAAGCCTTTGAGCGGGGGTTGAACTGTGCAAAAAGAAGGAGGAGATCCGCTGTCCGCTGCATCTTCACTCCCGAATTCACCATCAGCCCGGCTAGTCCCAACCTGTGACCCTTCTGAAGGGAGCCATGAGGCGACAGACATGCTCCTGACACCTGAACCCCCTCGCTGTGATCCACGCATTTGTCCATGGCGAGAGGATGACCCTGCGATGGAACTCTCTGTCATTGAGCAACAGCCGTCGCTGTCTGTGAATAACACGTTGGACCGCAGGGGCCTTTCGTGTCCTCGGAGGACATCATCAATGGCAGCACAGTCCGAATAAATAGGAGGAAAGATGTTACTGGTGCCATTGTACACCCTGCCTCCAAACTTGGACCCAGGGGTGTCGAACTGCGAGCTCACAAGATTTGAAGCTGTTGACGCCGTTCGTGTGTCGTCATCCCCGCTCCAGGTTCGTGAGCCGAAGATTCCCTGCGCTGCATCTGTGGTCAGCTTGGATCCACCCAACGGAGGCCGCCCATCGCTTGTTATTGCACTGCCACCACGTGATGCAGTTTGGTCCCTCGGCGACCAATGCTCTGATCTTTTCCCACGGCTCAGGGACACCACCCCGTTCACATATCCCTGGACGTGCGGCTGCGGGGCCACATTTCGATCAGGCCCATGCGAATTCTCCGCACGACGTTTGGTCCTCACGTCGCAGCTTTCAAGGTAGTCTAAATTGCAGCGCTTTACTATTTTTATGAAAACCCAGGCTGCCGGAACAGCTATGATGGGGACGACTATCAAAGGGATCAGCCACGCTGCAACAGATGAATTGGTGTTGGACTTGAAGATGTTCGGCTCTCCAATGGCAACCAAGGATCTGTCTCTTCCCTCTTCGTCGCTGGATAGCACTTTTGCAGGTGAAAATACGGCAGTGCCTTTTCCAGCCATCTTCAGGAGCTCAGCGACTTCCACGTGTTCATTGTCAACAGCTACGAGCTGCGGTGTATGCCCTTCGCCATCCTCAACGTTCGGATCTGCCCCCAAGTCCAGGAGCGTCTGAACAATTCGAGGACTGCCCGCCTGTGCGGCAAGGTGCAGTGGGGTCCGTCCCGCGTCATCTTGGATATTAGGGTCTGGGTCGAACGGGACCAAGGCCTCAACTATCGCCGCGTCATTGTTCTGGGCCGCAATGTGCAACGCGGTGCTTCTGTCGCTTGTCAACGAGTTGACATCTGTTCCGGATTCAAGAAGGGCAGCGACGATTTCAGTTGAGCTGTTGCCCGCCGCCACATGAAGGGGTGTATGTCCATCATCATCCCTGACGCTGCTGTCCGCTGAACCTGCCAGCAGAGCATCCACAACTCGCACGCTTCCCCGATGGACAGCCAACTGCAGCAAAGTGCTGCCATCGCTGGCAACACCATTGGCGTCTTCACCGGCCTGAATCAATCTTTGGACCTCCGCACTGTCATCGTCTAGTACAGCAATCATCAGGGGCATCAAGATGCTCTGGATACTAACCCGCCTTTTCGCTGCTGCGGGTTGGGCCAAGCACACCACATCCATTGGCCGCTGTCCTTTCAGGTTCCGTATGCCTCGTTGGGCGCCTGCATCCATGAGGCTCGCCACAACCTTTGGGAAACAATTTGCGGATGCTGCATGCAGAGGTCCCGAACCTCCCTCGTTCACTTTGTCTACATCCGGTTTGGAGGCCAGCAGCGCATCCACCGATGCCAACTGGCCTTGGAAGCAGGCGGCATACAAAGGCGTGGCTCCATTCACATCAGGCACATCAATCATTTCTTCGCCTCTACCCTCCAGCAATGCCAAGACGCACTGTGGATACCCGTTCGCGGCTGCCACAAATAGGGCAGATTGCTGGAATTCTGTCGTCCTCTTTTGGAAGTCCGCACCTCCCTCCAGAAGGGCTGACACCACATCTGCGTGGCCTTGGGATGCTGCCACAATCAGGGCTGATGAGCCCCATTTTGAGAGTATATCAACATCAGCACCAGAGTCCAGAAGGGCTTGCACAATGCCCACATGCCCCTCCTGAGCTGCAGCGTACAACGCTGTGGATCCGTTCGAATTGAGTCCATTGACGTCGGCCCCAAAATCAAGCAGCATTGCCACAATGGCTGATTCATTTCGGATGGCGGCTCTCCAGAGGGGAGGAGTTCCGGAAACGTCCAGATTTGGATCCGCTCCTTTCTTTAGCAGACTCTTAACTCGCCTTGAGAGGCCCGCTTGAATGGCGGAATGAAGGCGCAGGGCATCTGGCTGCGCTCCTGCGGGACCCTCTGCAGCAATTGGAGACTGTTCACAACAAAATGCACAAACGCTGTCAGAATTACTTCCTGCAGTTTTGGAAATTCTCGCTCCCTGAGATCTGCCCCTGGAGCGTTTGTCATTCAATGCACGTACAGCCAGTTCAGTACATATGTTATGCAATAGCAGCAGCTAGATTATTCCTGGTTTGATTAGAACAAGAGGCTGAAGATCCCCTGAACAATGGTCGCTGCAATTGCTTCTAAACGACCACACACGAGAGAAAAGTTCCAAATGTGAAGCTTCAACAATCAGGCACTAATATTGGATCCCAGTAGGGCCGACAAAACCTTCTCGCGCTCAGGCGATAATGAAATTCAAGATCTAACTTCTTTGCCGGTTTTGTCATGAGCGAAATATATGGTATCGATTTTGGTGCGCTCGACGACAATCATGGCATCAATATCACCACGACTCAGCAACATTACCAATTAACACGACGCAACACCAAACAGTCGGCACTGCAGCGATTACATAGGGCTTAAACATTGCGATGTTGCACCAGCAGAAACTGACATCATTGCGATGCCATTTGGGATCAATCGATGCCATCGAAGCTGCCATTCTACCACTATAATCAATGTGATAACGTCACTTTGTGTGAACATGGCATCGCATGTGGCATCACCGCCATGGCATTTTCTGCCAGTGTTGAAGTTGAAGGCAATTGAGACGCTTTGAGGCGTTTTTAGGACATCTGTGATCTAAACCTTCAGCCACATTTCGCTCATGTCGTTACTTGTTTCCTGTTTATCAGCAGTTCCTCGGGCCGCTTGTTAGCCGATATCTGCCTTGTGGCAATTGTCCAAGTTCTTCTCGTCGCATGTCTGGACTTCCCTCTTGACAATCGTATACTTAACGAAAAGGGTAACGTGATCAATGCAATGCTTTCATCAACCTTATAAATCGATTATTGGACATCAAAATTCGTAGCCTGGTAGCAAAGCAGTTTGACCATTGGCCAACTTTGTGGTGAACTGCAAAGAACAAGAACAGTGTTCGTATTCTCATGCTGGAACTTTTAGCAGCGCAACCAATACTTAACAGTGGGGGTTATTCCCTGGCACACCCAGGTGCGACGGCACCTGCGAAAAAGTCTCAATACTTCTATCAGTCGTGAGATGCAAAGCCGCACAACATACCCAGGCTCAATTGAAGAAAGCCAAGTATAAATCGCATAGATCCGGACGTTGTATGCTGCAATACCCAATGGGATGTCGTTGATTGTAAATTGTTTCAACAACAGGTTTAATGCAAATATTGTAGACAAAATTTGTTCTTA